TCATATATGCGATGTCAAAACAACGGAAAATAATTGAATCTGTTACTACAACGATATTGTCCAAGGAAGAGGAACCATACTACAACACAAGTTGGGTAATCCTGTGTGATGTATGTACGCCCTTACCATGCAGGGCATCCAACAACACAATAAGGCCTAATACTTATTATATTCACAATATATTTTTGGAATAATATACACTTATGTAAACCCAGTCACCGTGTAAACTGTGCTTTGTGACGGGCAAGGAAGTAGTTCACACTACCCGTAATTAGGTATATTGCATTTTATAAGTATTTATAGAGATCCTTCATAACAACTCATTTGCTGTACACAAATCCAATTGTGAGTTTTTCAAAGGCTGCTATAATGCTGGGGCCTTCTCGGGAGTTTCTTCCACCCCTGTTCGTATCACGTCAATTAATCTTAATATAATTTCAGATTATTTTTTATACAATTCCTTTTTCTTCAACCTTAACTAACCTAACATTATATAACTGTCTTTTATCACCATGTTTTAGTGCATAATTCAGTAGTCATTTAGTCTTCTTTTATTATTATTATTATAATTATAATAATTATTATTTTTTTTAAATGTTTGCCATTCTAAAACGAGCGCACAGAGAAGCCATAATACTGTACTTTTACTCATAACTTTGGCAATAGTAGGCCCAAGTCGATTACAGTAAATGACCCATCATTTCAAATCTTACAATAACGAGAATAATAATATTTTATATATTTTTAATTATTGCTTGCGGTACACCATGATGTAGGCCTATATAGTTCTGAAAAGAACTGTTGTTGTTGGTTGAGGATACTCGACGTTTCGATTGAGTTGCTTCAAACGTCTTCAGGAGAATAATATATTCGAAAAATCAGTTTTCATTATTTGTTCACCGATGCTGATTTTGGGATGGCAAGCCTCTAGCGTAGGTGTAAATGTATTTCTAACCTAGGGGTACATTCAGATTATAGATTGAAATCACAATGCTACTCTAATTATGTTTTAAATCATGATATGTTAACAATGTTTACTCATATTAATTTGCTTAAGATGAAATGATTAAACTCATATTTTTTATTGTAGTAATGTATGCTTTAAAGCACATTTACTACTGCCTTAATACTAATGATATTAGTCTTTAACTTTTGTAGAGTATTCTGTTTTGTTTTTACTCGACTTTGAGCATGATGTCCATAAAATATTAAAGTTGGGTTTATGTTACGTTTTTGTTGCTCTTGTATTATATAGTTATGTGTTATGATATGAAATAATGATTACCAGATGTGGTGTATAAAGGTCCCTGGTTTTCAATTTTTCTTAGACTTTTCAACCATTTTTTTTTATACCGCTCATTAAAATGCCACGCATTCTAAGCTGAAATATATAGTCCCACAATGAACTCTCATTACTGTATCATAATAATAAATTTTTGAACCGTACACTTTTTATAACAGTGGCACACACTGTCATGTGGTGCGTTCACAATACAACATTAAACGAACACAGTACATTCGTACATTAAGACACAGTATTGTATAAACACATACAATACATGAAATATAGTAAAATGACAATTCTTTAAATTGAATATTAAAAAGAAGCATTAAAAAATAAATAAAATTATTAATTAATTATGGCAGAGAAATGTTTAAAATATTTGTTAAAAAGACAGATATGCATACCGGTAATAAAAGCGTAATAACTATTTAAATCCTTAGGCTATTTAAAAACGAGGATTAAAACAAGTTAAAATTTTAGAGTTAAGCAATATAATAAAAGAATGTTAAAATATATAAAATACAAAATATGACATTGATTAGAATTAGTTTATCTATTTACATTGGCTAAAATTTCACATCTCGCTTTCCATGCTTACAAGCCATATTAAAAATATTATTGGTTGTTTCATTTTATTCATATGCTGCAGATATATTGTCGTTGCCTAGTAACATACTGAGTTTGTATTTAAATCAATACTAATAAAATAGTGTCAAATATCTTGATGGTTTATTTCATACAGTTCATGTTCAATCTTATTTATCTCATCAATTCTTCATCGTTAATTAGAGTGCGTCTAGACGTGGATAAAGAATTATTTAAATCTTCGATTTCTGATTGCGACAAAGGGGTATATCTCGTCCATGTCATCGCTCCACTTAGATACTCTGCCATTGAGTTGCAAAGTGTTAGAACTCGCTTTAAATTTTATATTTGTACCATCATCATCACTTCGGATATTGACTTGGCCGTTTTTGGTCTGGTTTGATCGATTTATCGGTAAGAAATCAGACGATCCACACAACATTTTAATAAGTTTTATAAGATCTCTGTTATCTCCCGGTCCAAATTTTAATACTCGCGACCCGTTTTTGACCATAATCTGGGGTTTGAGAACTGGGGATATGGATAAATAAATGATCGCTTTGCAATGTTTATCTTAATAAAGTTGATTTAGTAAGGTTCGCCTATCTCGTGAATTACTTAATTTACATTTATTTTCTTGCAAAACCCATAATTACCAGACACACTGCCCTTCCATAGGGCCTGTAGAATGCGAAACAACTTCAAATTAAAAATTACTACCAATGGAATCAGCATAAGATGTTATGTAAATTTAATCGTTCAAACGTAGAAAGGATGATAAATGAAACGGTGAAAAAATGGTATAACAGTAGTACAGTAGCAACGGGACGATGACGAGACGTCTATCGAATACGAGAAGAACAACGTCAACGAGTATGAGTACGTGTACATGTACGTGTACGTGTACGTGTACGTGATTCACTGAAACGTGAAATAACCATAAAATACAAATAGCATAATGCAATACAATGATGATGAATGAAAGTATTTTAGCTTTAAATTAATAATACATTTATCCTTGACAATCTTATCTCTTGAAATTAAAGTTTGCCTATAATTCAGTATAACAATAATATGCTTTATGTAGCCAGCGTAGGCCTGAGCCTAGGCATACAAATAATGTAAACAACTATACGTCCATGGAAACATGCGTGCGTAC